AGGCAGAGAGCGAGCACAGTGAGACCCAGTGCCCACCACCCAGCCCCCCGGCTGGTGCAGCATCCATCCAATGTGAAAGTTGGTCTCCTCCATATCCTCGACCACCAGGGCCCCAGGAGGACCGAGCACGCACTGTCCCACCCCAGGAGAGGCACTCGGCTCTCCAGCATCCGTGAGCTGCCCAGCACACAGTCCCTCCAGCATCTCTCACCCCTGGGAGAGATTTAGAGAGGCTGTGATGGGAGGGAGTGTGGGCAGCAAAGCACATCAGCGTTGCTTTATTTATAGATAAATAAAGCTAAAGAGGCAATTACCCAAAGCCCGTAGTTGCTCTCTTTACGTGATGTTAAAGTACTTCACTGTTGCCTTGCAGGACGAAAGCCAGCAGGTGCAGATATGAAAAGTGGCCCCTTCTGTGCTTGGCAGATCCCTGTTCCAAGAGCTTCAGCGTGTTATTTAGTGTCTTAGTTCACAGCAGTATGGCCAACCCAGCAGTAAAGTAAAAGGGATTTGGGTCGATTAAGCTGGCTCTCGCTGGGGAGCCACAAGCTGAAGATGCCTTCAAGCCAGCAGTAGAAAGCTCTGGCTGTCCCCATTCAGTCTCCTTCCCATCCTCAGTGTATCTTGGCATTAAGGTGTGGGGTTTTTTCTGAAGAGGGAGACAAGGAAAGCTCTGGCCATCTGGGGCCAGAGCAGGGACAGGTCACAGGGCAGGAAGGCACTTCAGAAGGAGGCAGGTTGCTCCCAGGGAGCTCTGGTGGAGGAAGAGCAACAGCATCTCCCGGGGTAATCCAAACCTTCCCACGACAGAAAATGCTTAATAAAAGGTTTCAACAACACAACTGATCTGCTTAAAGCACCCAAGGCCCCTTCACCAGCCCATGGCATGGTCCTGCTCCTCCACCTCCTCTGCCAGACACCAGCAGAGGTGGAACGACGGCAGAACAGGACAGACACCAGCGCAACCGGACGGATGGACACAATGAGTCTAACAGTGGCCCAACACCACTGCAACCACACGTAGACCAGCCCAGCTGTGCTGACTCCCAGCTGTGCTGACTCCCAGCCCAACTATCCCAAGACCAGCCCAGTGAGGCCAATGGCCACACCAGGTCTATGTGAGGCTAACCACCCAGCAACAGAGCTAAAAAACTTGAGCTGAAAAGAAGAAAAGGCTCCTCTAAACCCAAACTTACTACCATCAGTTTTCCCCAGACTCCAAGCTATGAGTGCCCACTGAGGCAGCACGTGGCCAAGGCAAACCCATGCCAAGAAGTCCATGGGTCAGGCACCTCTTGGCCTGGAACTTATAACTATTTTGTGCCACGGGATGGGGCCAGATGCTCCCAGATCCCCACGTGTCACCAGCAATGACCAAACTCAAGGGTGAGACCGGAGTGGTCCTAGCACCACCGGTTAACTGAGTACGCAACGGCGTAACACAAGCACCCCAAGTTTCGCAAAGCAAATTATTCTTATTTTATGGTGGATTAACGAGGGTTGTTGCCATGGCAACCAGAGCAGCTCTGCAAGAACCCAGAGGGCCTTTATCTCCTGTTTTAAATCATAAAGGAATGAGCTGAAGAAAAACACTTCTGGGGAAACCGGTGGCAGAACTGATTTCTCACCCCTCATTTGGTAGAGGAGCATGAGTTACTTGACGAGCATCTAATTAGCACAGTGGTTAATGATTTCTCTCAAACACGAAAAGCTTGCTCCCCTCCCAGTCACAGCCTGGGGGATGCGCACGACATAGTCATCACCATCGGATAGGTGGCAGGGCGGGACAAGTAAGGAGGGCAGGGATTGGTGCCCTTCCACCAGCACAACCCGCTCCAGGATACTGGGCAGATGGAGACAGGACCAGCTCAGGGCACCCCATGGGCTGCAGCAGATCTGCCGGAGGACCAAGCTCCAGGATGCTCCTTGGGTTTGGGGGATGTGCTCGGCAGCACGCACGAGACCCTGTCACCTTTTGAGCCTCTCTCCAAGCAGGACCATCCTCCACTCCACAGCCCCAGTGCCCCACAGCCCAGCCCAGTGTGGCCCACCAGCAGCACCATTACGCCACAGCCCAGTCGGAGGAAAGCCGGCATCAGTGCAGGAGCTGCATCAGAATACCAGGCGGGGGGTGGATCTCCCTGGCTGGGGACTAACACAACCCTTACCACTGAGTGATTGCCTCCGAGTGACGAACAGGCAGCCTGGAGCAGGGATGTGGCACCACGCTGGGCCCCCTCCTTGGGAGGCACAGGCAAGGGAATGACACAAAACCATTTGTTGAGGGTTTGGATCAGGGAAAAATATCTGAATGCAGTCAAAAATGTTCCTGGATAGCTGGACGATCTCTGTTCTCTCTCGAAAAACACTCACAACTCACTCAGAACATACAATATACCCTATATATATGTGTGTGTGTGTGTGTGTGTGTGTGTATTCTTTCCGAGCACTGTATTACACACACAGACATACACGTACACCTGAACAAGTCTCTACAGACAGTGTATTAAATTCACTGTCAAGGTACCTCCCCTTCATCCTCTTCTGCCAGCACGCTTTGGGAAGAGCCCCAACGTGGGCCAAATCCGTGCCTTCGCCCAGGCAATTATTTTATCATTTAATACATCTTGCACTATCCACTCTGGCTAAGGAGGATGTATTAAACCGATAAATCTCCCTGGCAAAGACACATCATTGCAACTGGGATCTGAAACAATTTCTTTTGCTGTTCCCCCCTCCACCGCCTGCAGCCAACAGCCTGCCTGTAATGAAGGCGTAAATATATTAATCAAGCTCTGCTATAATTACAGTTAGGTTGTGATTAGCTCTCGCACCCAGCCCTGCTCTGATTGCCAGCATGGGGGATCTGATTGCTGTTCCTGGGGGCCACGTCCCTCCTCGTGGATTTAATACAGCTGCCACGAGCACAGAGCTACGTGCACGTCTTCAAGTGGCTGATTAGATTATTCCTTTAATTAAGAGTGGGTTTTCTGCGACATGAGTTGCCCTGCTGAGCAGGGGGGCTGGATGCAAGCATGAGGCTGGCCAGAGCTGGGGGGGGTGAACCTGGGTCCTCGTGCCCAAAGACCCTCACGGATGCTCCAAGTGCTGCAAAGAGACAGCGTCCCTTTCCTTTGAGATCTGCAGCACTGCTGCCTTGTCCTCTTCTCCTCTGCAGTCATACAAACCACCTACCACACCCCCACGGATGCTCCAAACCCATCAACTGATTTTACACCTGCTCCAGGTGCTAGAGTCAAAGGCTAGGAGAGTATGTGTAGTTAAATGTTCGGCTTTTATTACTTAACTACAGCCTATAATCTTGGTTCAGCTTCAAAGGAAAAAAATCATACAGAGGATTCTCACGTTCATTTAAACCAGCTTAGCTCCCTATATCAAGATTCATAGGATGGATTTTTGGGTTCAAAGCTACGCCAGCTTGGGGTGCCCTTGATGCTTTTTCACAGGCCAGTAAGTCCAGTAGCTCTGAGATTAAAACAATGGCGTGAGTTTTTTTCCCTGCACTTAACTAACGCTGGCCATTCACCAACTCAGTTGTGACATTTGCTCTCAGGAGCCGGGTCTGAAATGCATGTGAGACTTTTCAGCGGCTCCTCTGGCTCTCCCCTAGTGAATGACTTGGTGCTGCAAAACCAAGTCATTAAGAGGACCAGCTCCAAAGGAACCCTTCCCATTGTCTTATTAAAACATTTGTCAGTCTGTCCTAGGGAGATTTAATGAGGTTTGCTCTTATTAATTCTACCCTGAAGAGTTGTTTCCTCCTTGCTTTGCTTGAGAAGTTAAAATATTTATGGAGATAATAGAATAATTGCTGTTCGATGAAGCAGCTTTGTGCCAGAAGCTCTCAGAGGGACGCATCTCCAAGTCTGCTCTTTTCCATTCAGCTGGTTCATTAGTGCAAGGCTAGATAGACTTTGGCATCACACACGACTCTGCTGCAGAGTGTTTTCGTTGAGGAAGAGGCGTGGTAGCCACCACAGAGGCAGAGGAGGGTGAAAAAAGGCATCTCTCCCCTTGCTATACCCTCAGTTGCCTGTCCTGGCTGTCCACCGCTACGAAGCAAACCTAAGAGCCTTGTTGAAAGGATGGCCTGGAGATTTCTCAAGGCATGGCTCTCAGTGTCACAAACCAGAGATGTGTACAAATGAGCAAAGGAAGGAGTGGGAAAAAGGACAACCAGCTTTAGTCACAGGTAACTGGGGAGATCGTGCCCAGTGCTGGGTCTGCTGGTCAGTCGGCTGAGGTCCAAGCCCCAAATCCCACCCCTCTCTTCACATCACAGGCTTTTTATGACATTACTCAGAGAATCAGAGAATGCGTTGGGCAGGAAGGAACCTTTGAAGGTCATCTAGTCCAACCCCCTGAAGTGAGCCGGGACATCTATAAGGCACCTTCCCACACGTTGAGGCACAGGCTGCTCAAAGCCCTGCTGCGGCTCTCCCAGCTTTCCATTGCCACGTGCTCCTGCCCCAAATCTGCCCTGATTCTGGCACAGATGAAGGAAAACCCCTTTGGGATGTGTTGCCTGTGCAAACCACGGCTGGGGTTTTGGTGCTGTTGAGTGCTCGGGCTGGCCAACACCGGCATTGAGCATCCCTCACTGGGCACTGCAAGATGATGCCTAAAACTGGGCTCTCACGGCCGTGTTCCTGGGGTTACTAACTGGTGGGAAAAAAAGAGATTTTCGATGGTGTTGAGCATCTCAGAGCTTCTTTGCTGGCCTTCTGAAAGGTCACTATTTAGCTCGTTAAGAATACAGAATATAAAATATAAATGATTCTCTGCCACCCACGGACCTGGAGAACACCTCCCCATGACAACTCTGCACATTCCCTTTGCCTTACGGTGTTGCAGCCTGACCAACAAGGCTTTCCAGTGCTGGATTTCAGTGAGACTGGCCAAACTGGATGACATTTACCAAGCCTGGGGACATCAACAGCTTCTCCAATTTTTATCAACTCCCAACTACCCCTGAGGCACGCCCACGAAGTCATGGCACCAAACAGAGGAGACTTTTCAAATGGAAACCAAAGCCTGTTCTGCTTCACCCACACTTTTCCTCCAGTAAAAACAACACCAAAACAAAACAACCCAGCATCAAAGCCAATGACATGTCATGAAACACCCTGTCAAGCCTCATCCTGGGATGACCGAGGCTCTCTTCCACCCCCTCACCCCTTTAAAAACCAGGCTCTAAACTCCCAGTGGCTGATTTAAATTCGTTGCTCGTAATTGCATGTTTTCTTCTGAGAGATATTTTCTTATAATTAGAATAACACTCAGACCTGCCTCTCGGTCCTTTACGTCCCCCCGACTCTTAAACCCCTTCAAAAGTGGAGTCCCAAAACTGATTGCCTGGCATATAATCAGTAGAAGAAACCTGAAGAGAACAGAGACTTAAATAGTTGATAAATGAAAGCATTAACATATGAAAGACCCTCAGCCTTCCTGAAACAGCTCTAAAAAAACAAATGAGACACCTGTTCAGATAAAAGAAATTGCAACAGCATCTCATGGGCTTTAAAAGTATTTTGCTAACAAATTCCCCTTTTATAAATCTGTGTTGGACCCTTCTGAGCTCAAGTTTGCCTTGTCTGGTCCTGAAGGTCTCCTGCCACAAACCTTTCCTATGCAACTTAAGACAGGATTTCCTTCTTGTCATTAGAAAACCCTTGCTCCCATCATTTCTCACGGCAGACATGGACGTGATGGGCAGGGAACTGCTGACCCACGGACGCACTTTACAGCACACCCCCCGATACATATATAGATATACAGACATATAGAAATATAGATATATAGATACATAGATTTATAGATACATAGAAATACAGAGACATATATATAGATATATAGATACATAGATATAAAGATATATAGGTATATACACACAGTCTATGGATGAAGAGGCTAGTGGTACTTTCACAACCTGTCCTCCTCCTTAACAGGAAAAGAACAGACCTGGAAATGAAGCGTGGTCTCCTGCTTCTGAACACCCCGACTATAATTAGCCTTTTCCTTCACACAAGTATATAGTTAGCTGTATTTGGGTTCCACGAGTCCATAAATTAATAAATATTTTATTTCCGTTTTCCAAGGCAAGTACAGATTTTGTTTTCCAAACAGGATCTACACAAAAGACCCTGCAGATGTAACAGCGTGGGATGGTCAAGCTCCCAAAGGCTCAGCCTGGTTGTACCAGCTGGTTACACGTGGTCCCTGCTTTTTCTTTCGGTGGCTCCTTCAAAACTGCTCTCAAACTATTTGGCACAACCACAGCACTGATGTCTGGCGAATTTATTCCCTTCACTGCACAATTTATCCAATCCCAGTAGCAAGAGCATTAAAATTGGAGAGAGGAGGAGGAAAATCATGTCTTACAGGAGGTCCATGAGAGCTGGGACCAGGGCAGCACGAGCAGGACCTCCAGAGAAGATGCTCTTCCTTCTCAGAGCACAAGGAAGGGCACGAATCTTACAGTAACAGACCAGAGCAGTGAATAAACACTTTTGTTTAAAAAGAAGCTTCAAGAGAGACCTTCTTAAGATCCATCTCCCAGCCAGCCCCACTGTGTCTCAGGCACAGCCCTGTGGAGCTGGCGAGGAAATCACTGCAGGTGGCATCACAGGGAGAATGGGCTTTCTGGTCCGGAGTCTGAATAGAAAAGTTGGGGAAAATTCAGTTCTTCCAGAACTGGAGTTTCACATTCTGCTTTAATTTGCAGTGGCAATGTGTTCTTACTGAGAAGTTAAACAACTATGCAGTGTTTCCTTTTAGATTATTCTTGAACTGTAAGGTTCCGTAACTTTTCCAGAAACCTGCATCATTTTTTTTTTGCTAATGAAATTGTCCCAAAATATATCATTCAAAATACATGGAAAGATGACTCAGCCTTTACCAATCCACCGCCCCATCGCCACTCCTTTCTTTTTTCAGCCAAAACCATCCACCACGAACCCATCTTTAACTGCATTACAGGAGTGTTCCAAAACTGGCATTTCATCATAAAATCACCCATCCAAGAAAGGAGCAAAAGCTAATAGTCCCCAAAACCAACTCCCTCCCCACCAGGGCAGATCTCTGCCCTGCAAAGGTGAGGACAGATGATTCCCTGAGACCTTCCCCATATGAGGCAAACTGGTTATTTAAGCAAATGTCCTCATCCTTAAAGAAGAGCCAAGTGCTTCCAAAGGGGGAAGATGATGACAAAGCATGCAGGCTCAGCCAGGTACGGGCACCAGGAGATAACCTGTCCCTGTGCTTGGTTGCAAGGAAGCCAGAGAAGCACTTCTCCAAAGCAGAGCCTGAGGTGCGGGAGGTACCCCAGGGCAGGAGACCTCAGCTGATGTTCACGTAACCACTACGGCTTGGTGGGGACCAGGTGGGGCCAGGTCACGGTGTCTCTGGGAAGCCCTGAGCAGCTCACGCTGTTTGGGCTGGGCACTGCCCAGGGTTACACCCTGCCACGGGCGCCGCAGCAAAGCAGAGCTCCAGGAGGCAACCTGGGCACGAACACCAGGCAGAGCAGGAGAAAACCTGGTCACGTAAAACGCAAGGACAAGATAAAGGATTAGCTGGAGGGTGGGAGGAAAAGATCATTTTTCAAAGATTATTTCTACTGACTGTTTTATCTCGAGGTGTCATCATTCAAAAAAGAGCAATATCATATTTGGCAAGCTTAATTTAGGCAGGTAAGAATGCAAATGAGAGCACTCTATATTGATGTTCTGGACTGTGCTACGAAACAAAAAAATACCAACCCCAAACTCATCCATCATTTTTAGCATCCAAGACTGGTGGCAGATGGTGCTTGCTCTGTAACTGAACTGCTCAAACAAGTGCTCCGTTGCCGGGGGCTGCTGGGGGCTGAGAGATGGGGAGACCCATGGCCACGCTGGCACCAGTAGTGGGTACAGAAGGTCTCCTGCAGCAGTTCCCACCCAGCCCCAGGAGTCCAGAAGCTCCTGTTCACTGCGACAACATGTTGTAAAGCAGAGACAAGAAGGGTGAATTGCAGCAGGTACGGTTTATCTCACAAATAACGTGCAAACCTGTTGATCCATCCAGATATACCTCTGAGCTGCCAGGTGCTCCTGGAGCATCAGCAGCTGGCACTGAAGGGCAGGACACTCAGTTTTCCCTTTATGGTTTACATGTTCTCTCACCTAAATAATGACTCTCAGGGGAAAATGTGTTTGCAGCTGGTTTGGGTACAGCATCTGTCCGTAAGACACATGTGGTGGGTGGCACCTTGACACAAGAAGGCTCTCGAGGGGTGTGTGATGTGTCACCACTCGGTCATATTTCCACTCCAGGTTCATCAAATGAGATAAAAAGTATTTTGACAAGAGACAGACTGGCAGCAGAGCCGGCAGCAAGCAAGCAAGGAGCAGAACAC